GTTTGTCAAGAACTGGATGTAGCTCGAATTAGAGTGAACCAGGTATAAACTTGTGTGTTCATATTCTTCTTTCATCTCTTTTAATTTCTGTCTTTAATTGCGCTGTGTTTAAATCAAATTACCTTTGCAAAGATTGAATAAAGATAACTCATTCTTCCAAAAGAAAATAAGATTTGCGAAAAAGTTTTAAAGTTCAATTCACCCCCCCTCTTGAACTCAACCATTAATTCTTTCAGATGGAAGGATCAAACGCAGTACTGATAGAATTGGATGTACTAAAAGGAGCGGAAGAAGTCATAAAGGGTGGAGGCGATAGTGACAGCGGCGTGAACCAGTACACCAGTTAAGTTCCCAGGAAAGAGAGGTGGGTCACTAATGGACACGCTTAAATACCAAGTTTTTCCTTGTCAGAACTTTCCTAGACATGCACTTTCACACTACCAAATAACCGACAGCGATAGCGGTGGTGGCGGCTTCAATAGTGGTCAAAGGCGAAAAAAAAATTCAAAATAAACTTAAGCTCTAGATACCATGTTGAATATAGAAGAAATAGAGTTTGGGATTAATCTCCCTTGTGTATAAATCACACATAGGGTAGTCTATTTATAGTAGAGAGATAGAACTAAAAGAGTAACTAAAAGTAACAGAATAAACAGAAGATATTGTTTGATATTGTGGTTAACAATATCTTAACAATATCAAATAATATCTAAACAATATCTAACAGTGTGTATTTGATTTTTCATCAAAACTCATTTAAATAGGAAAATAGCATCAAAAAATAGTCGTTAGTCATTAATAATTTCGTAGAGAAAAAAATCAGGATCTATTCAAAAATATTTATTCTTCAAAACGGATATTTTTCAAATTTGAACTGCCATAATCGATTATGTTACCAGTATAATCAATTATGACAGAAAAAATCATTTTTCCATTTCCGATGCATCATAATTGATTATGACAGTAAAAAATGTCATGTTACGAAATTTTATCACATTTGTGCTTTGGAGGCTTATGCATATTATTACTTCATCAACTTGTATCTTTACATCCAATATTCTAAGACTCTATCTAGTCTTCAAGAATTATCTTGGGCTTGCTTGAATGTTGAATAGAATCTTTATCAAAATCATATCTTGGGCTTGCTTGAGTCTTGAATGTTGTTGACTTGAATCATCATCAAAATCATCTCTTGGGAATGTAGAGACATGTTTCACATTGCCATCAATCTCCCCCTCATTAATTTCAGTTTGTCCTTGTAAACTATATATTCATGAAATATAACATCTTTGCTTCTGATGATATTTTTTTATTTGATCATCCAGAAGTGATATCTCATATCATATACTTCATAGTCAATGAAAAAGCACTTTCTTGCTGTCGGATCAAGTTTGTCCCTATCAATATCTTTAACACGAACATAAGAAACACAACCAAATACATTCAAATGAGAAAGACTTACATCCTTGCATTGTCATTCTTCATCAAGAATTTTGAACATTATCAATTAATGAGGTATGTTGGTGTGCTTACTGTTTCTGCCCAGAATGTCTTTAGTAACCCTACATGAATTCTCATACTCTTTTACCTCTCATTCAAGGTCCTATTCATTCTAATTCCATTAATAGTACAATAATCAACAAATTCAGTTTTACTATATTCACCACCATTATCATACTTTAAACATTTAATTTTTAACCCTATCTCATTCTTAACAATGGCTTTCCACTTCTTAAAGGTATTAAATACTTTTGATTTTTTGTTCAAAAAATAAACACATATATTTCTAGTAGAATAATCAATGAAGGTGACATAGTATCATGATCCTCCCAATGATGAGACTGATGTTGACCTATACACATCTGTATGAACAAGTGTCAACTTCTCTTACCTTGGGCATCCTCCTTAACTTAGCAAAATTAACTTTCTTCTACTTCCCAAACACACATGGTTAACAGAAATCAACTTTTACCTTTTTCAGTTCTGGAATCTTCCCCTTTGAGACTAGTATCTTCATACCCTTCTCGCTCATGTGACCAAGTCTTTAGTGTCATAGAGTCGAAGGATGACCAACATCATCACTAATTAAATTTACTTCTTCTGCTGGTAATTTTGTCATGTATATGATTCCTTTCTTTTAATCGCGAACAACAATTAGACTACCCTCCACCACCTTTCACTGACCTTCTCCAAAAATGACTCAATATCCTTGAACATCCAGCATGTCCACAGAGATTAACATTCTCTTAAGTTTTGGAATATATCTGACATCCTTTAGTGTACAAACTACACCAGTAGCAGTTTTAAGATTTATATCTCTCATGTTTGTGATGTCTAAAGCTTCATCATCTATTAGATGAACTTTGGCAAAATTTTCAATTATGAAATCTTTCATCAAGTCCTTACAAAGAGAAACATGGAAAGATGCACCAAAATCCATGATCTAGGATTCAAACTTGCTTTCAACACAACATCTAAACACATCATCAATGTCTTCTTGTGCTACATTCATGGTATTGTCATGCCTTTTTTCTTTATGAGCAGTACACAAGTTTTTAAAATGACCATTCTGCAGACAATTTTAACAAGTAATATCCTTGCGAGATTTGGATTGTCCTCGCTTCTTGGATTTTAATCTACCACGCCTAGAGTCTTGCCCTCGCTCAAGCTTTCCACCTCTATCTTTGGTGCTTAATAAGGAGCTTGTTGATTCTCCAACATTCCTTCTACAAACATCCTTATTAAAGATTAAATCCCTAATTCTTTCAAAAGTTAATTTCGTAGTCCCAGATGAACTGACTACTGCCGTGAAAGTTTCTGACAAACTATCATGCAACGAAAATAACAACAATGTGACTTGTAATTCATCATAAAATTTAATATCCACTAACACTAATCTTGACAATAAGAAATTAAATTCATTCGCATGATTTGTAACACTGACACCTTCTCGGATTTGTAAGCAACATTCTTTACTAATGTTAATCTTACGACGCCTAAAGCTTGTCAATCTAGGAACTTTCAATCTTTCTGAGACATCGTTTTTGGTTTATTCTCGAACAATGACTGGTGTAACTTTTTTTGATATTGGTAATATTTAATCTGCATCTTCTAATTGAAATTGTTTTCATCAAACTTGTCAATCTTCACTTTCCCATCTTTTTGTCATTGCTCCCACTAGTGTGAAACCCTAAGCTTTGATACTAATTATTGGGGGAACACAAATGCATTATAAGATGAAAGTAAATAATAAGAACACAAAATATTTACGCAATTCAATCAAAATGACCTCCGTTCACGGCTACACTAGATAATTCTCATTTGCTTAATTAAGTTTCCACAAAATGGGTCATACCTAATAACTTTTTAGACTCTACCTACTTATGATTTAAATATCTATGAAACGATTAATAAATAATTAATTAAAAATATAATATAATATTACAATACTAGAATAAATACTTCAAATCAAATAGAATAATAAAAAGCAATAATAATATATATATATATATATATATATATATATATATATATATATATATACACGTCAACCCTATAGATCTTTGATATATAGAAAAGATATCGAACCAATAATTGCTCCAAAATATTTAGAAAAAAAAATAATTTTAAATAGAAATAACTTTCAATATTGTTATATATTTTCCTTCTCTCGTATATGAGTATTTATAAATGCAAGAGACAATTAGAAACTAGGTCAAAATACATCTAGTCAATTTTCCCACTAATATAGAAACCACTAAATATGTTAACCAAAATAGTAAAAGACTTAGTAAAATAATAATAATAATAAATATATGAATATAATTTAAATTTAAAATTATTTTCTAATAGAGTAAACTGGAAAATTCATTAAGTAATTATTTCAAGTGATAATAGATTATGTATAAACCTACTATTCAGAACATGATCTAAATTAGGGATTATTTATTAAGATAATTGTTTTAGCTTATTTATGATAGATTATAACTCAAGATAATCATTATATGTGAGATCATGTCAATTTTTTAAATTCCCTATATCATGATAATCAATCATATTTTAACATAAACAATTGTTTTGTTCTTAGTTCAATTTTAAAATGTTTAAGTGCTTTTAAAATAAGACAGTCATGTTAAGATTTAACAATGTCTACGAATGCATGATCATTGAGAGGAAGTTTTACATCACTGAAACAATCATATTTCCAAGGGTATGTTTATTGTTTTTAAAAATAATTTTCTTTTCTTTTTTTAATTAAAAAACTTGTTTGATAGCTGTTTTGCTATAACAGTTTTTTTTTAATTTATTTATTATATTTTCATTAATAGATATTAACATTATAATTATATTAAATCACTCATTTTTATCATCATAAATTTTTAAAGATTCTTTTTAAATTTCAACACAATTTTTTTAATCATTTATGTTATTCTCCTTCATTTAAAATAATTTTAAAAAAATATTATATTTTTTAACTTAGTTTCAAAAATATTTTTTTCAAAGCTAATTGTTAAAAACTAAATCACTTCTAAATATGTGACTTTCAATTAACATACGCAGTAGAGATTGAAAGTTTTGTAGAAAAATGCAATTTTCTTTAAATAATTTTTAAATAAATATTTTGGTCGTAAACTCAATTACAATTTTAAATATTAAAAAATTAATTCAAACTTTGTTCTATGAGAGTAAATTTTATTTTCCGTGACAATTACATTCAGATTTTGTTTGTTTTTTTTTTTCTATATTTGCCTAGAGAGTATTACAATATCAATTAAGGTGTTCAATATCAAAACTGAAAAAAAAAAATCAAAAGTAATTTTTATTAAGACTTTTAGAATTTTTTTCTAAACAGCAAGATTTATTTGAATTAAATTTCATATTGAAAAAAAAACTTATCTCTCTTAAAAAAATTATGATTTTTTTACTTTATTTACAATATATTTATTCTTATCAAAACATAATAGTAAATATATACGATAATTTTTAATTATAAGATTATATAGTTTATTTATAAACATGAAAGAAATTTAAATTATAAATATAAAATTAATCATATAAAAAGATATACATGTTTTTATTTAAATTTTTTTATTTTGAAGTATTTAATATCTTTTATAATATAATATTTTACATTTTTTCGTAAAAAATATTTTAAAATTTTATAATAATAATAATAATAATAATAAATAAATGGATCAAATTTGAATCATGCAACATTTGTTAGGTTTAGTTTGAATTTTATATAATCTCATTAATTTTGTAGGTTTTTTTTTTCAGATGATTGTAAAATGAAAAAATTGAACCCAATCAACCTACAAATATCATATTATTAATGAAAATTTTTCATAGGACTAGATCTAAACAAGAATGAATACTAACACTTAATTAGAGATAAAAGAATATATTTAAAAATTACTAATATTTTTTATGAAATCTAAAAATTAAATTTCGTTTTTCTTAAATATTTGTACAAAACCTCATGCAGACTTGTATTTTGAAATTGGTTAATTAATTTAGAAAAGACAATTATTATATTCTTTGATTTCCACAAAAGAAATTCAAACACACTTAAAAAATAAATAATAATATATATAAAAATAATAATTAATTATTGAGACAGGTGAAGTAATTGTAGTAGTATTGAAACTTAAATTAAATGAAAAAAATAATCAATAACATTTTTCTTTGTTTTGTCAAGCACAATTAATATATATATATATATATATATATATATATATATATTTATTTATTTATCAAGAATGGTTGCATCATTAAGAAATATTATAATCTGTATTAATATTATTACATATATTTTTATTATATTGTTAGATCACATTTAAACAATAAATGTGATTAATGTCTTAATCTTAATTCTTGACTTTTTAAAAAAAAAAAATTGTTCTTTCTATTTTTTTTTTATTGCATATTGGATAATTCTTCTGGAATGAAAACCATATTCTCCAATCTGGTTATGTAAAAAGGCAAATCTTATCTGAGCAATCATAAGAATTTTATCCGTACAAAAATATATCTGAAATAAAATTTAGCCACGGAATTATTGTAGCTCCATTATCTGAAAGAAAGTACAATTTTATGCACAAGTTGTTAGATATTACATTGCATTAGGAAGGTCCATGATGATTGGATTTGTCTTTGTCGAAGAATCTTCAATATTATTGATTATGGATATGAAATCAGATCAGTCAGCCATATCCATGTCTATGATCAAGATTTGAACACCACCATCAAAATTCATCAAGATTTTTTGGCCTCCACTTCCATGTGTTTAAAATGTCACCTCTCACTTTCCAATTATTTTCGATTGCTCAATATTCCAAATACAAGCTGTAATTCTCCATGCAAGATAGTTCTCTTTTTTTTCAAGGAAAATATATTAAGAGAATTATTTATTCCAACAATATTAATTAAAAATATAATTTTATAATTAAGATATATATTATTAGATTATTAAAAAATGAGTGATAAAAATAAAACTAAAAGTTTTTTAACTCTTATTATTTAATCGTGTGTCATTAGTTCATCCAACCCAATGAATAATATTATTTATTGAATAATTATTGAAAGGAATGATATTTAATTAACTTAAAGAGTTTAAAATAAGTTAAATAATAAAATGAAAGAATTATAGTGATTGGTGAAGCATTCAAAGATGCATGCAAAGATTCTGGAAGACACAATGACAGTTTGCATGAATGGTTACTTTTTGCTCCATACATGCGGAATAACAGAGTTTTTGTCTCGCTGTTTCATTCTGATTCACTCGAATTCGACATACGAATAACAATAATATGTGGCTACGATTAATTTCCATCATTAATGGCTGCAAACATAGTTCATACTGTTAAGGATTTTTTTGTTCTGAGACATGTAGGGTTATGAGCATTTATCTAAGGAAGATTTTTCTGGCGAAACAACGTTATCATATGAAGCCCTTGCCCTATTTATTCCAAGAAATATCTTTCTTGTTGGCCCTCTACACTGAGATTCACCACTGCACTGCACATTCAATTTCAGGTCTTTTGTTAACCTTCTTCTTTTGTTGTCTTTTTAGAGTGGCTCACACAACACTAGAAAAAATTAAATTAACTTTATCTCATACGATAAAATTAATCATTCAAAAAATAATCTAATTCACTCGTCATTTTTCTATTTTGACTTATCTCGTTTTTAAGTTTTTCATCAATTTCTTTTAGATTTCTCTTTTTTTTTTCAACTTTCACATGAATGACTTTATCCAATAGAAAAAAAAATACTAAAATGAGAAAAAAAATTATCCCCCACTTAAATGTGAACGTATTTCAATTTTTTTTTTTTGGTCCACAGAAAATTTAACTATGAAATATTTGTCGGTGACCGTTCATTTAAGCCTTTTTCTTCTAAGTATATATATATATATATATATATATATATATATATATATATATATATATATATATATATATATACACACGTTTTTTACATTATAGCGATGTGTAATAACTTAAAATAAGAAGAGACAATGCAGTTCAACTTCAAGCTAATTTAAAATTATTTTTCCTTTCAAATTATTAATGTGTTGTATTTTAGTTCTTCTCATATAAATATTTTTACGAAAATGTTAATAAACTAAAAATACAATATTATAGAAAGTATCTTTAAGATAATATTAAAGTTAATCTTAAAATATTGAAATATAAAAAAAAAACAAAAAAATATGTCATAAACCTCCTTAAATATAAAGAAATATGATGAAACATCACATGGAAAAATATATAATAATATTATACTATATAAATCACTACAAATTTTAATGAATCAATTTCAAAAATTGAATTAGATTTATTTTTATTTATAAGAAATCTCTTAGGTTGTGTTTAGATGGATAAATGGAATTCAAAAAGTGGAGAAAAAGAAAAAGAAAAAGAAAAGTGGTAAGAATATGAAAAAAAAGTGGAAATAAAATTGATTTAATGGATTAAAACAATTAAATAATAAAATAAATTAATAAATTACCAAAATATCTTTATTCAATTTTTATAAAATTAGATACAAATTAAAATTAAAATTAAAATATATAAAATATTTATTTAATAAAATAATTTTTTATATAAATTAAAAATAAAATGTTAATAATTTATAGACATATTTATATTTAAAATTTACTTTTATAAGTAATATTAAATTATAAAATTATTTTAAGAAAATTATACTATAATTTTTTATATATAATAAATTGAAAGTATAATATTTGATGAAATAAATTTTTGGTTAGAACCAGTTAATAATTTGTGTATAACATGTTTTAGAAAGTATAAGAAAGGAAAATTAAAAACTCAAATCTTCTCAATTTAAGAAGAAAAATATATTTCTTTATTTTTAAATCAACTCATTTGGTTTGATCCAAACAGATTTTCTGCGCTTTCAATTCTTTGGAAAACAAACGCAACCTTACTATAATTATCATCAATAAATTATCTTAGAACCTCTGTTATTAACATTTTCTATTTAAAAAATAAAATAAAAATTAAAAAATCAACAGTACGTTTAAAATTTGATTTTCTAAAACTATAAATTATGGTCACAGTAACTTCAACACAACACGTGTTAAGTTTGTTATTTTTAAAATATATGTAAAAAATGTCAAGTTCAAGTTCACATTATTATAAATAGGATTTACGGTATCCAAAAAGTATTATCCGATTTAATATTTAATAGTTTTATTATAATTTTATCATGAAAAGACATTTAAAGTGAACTATAAGACTTTTAAGTAATTTTTTTTAATAAATAGCTCATATGTAAAAAATTAAAACTTTTATTTCTTCAATATAAAGAATCCAAAAAGTCAAGTTGGCCTATTGTGAGAATGAACAATGAAAAGAGATATCACTTTCCACAAATGATGAGTCGTAACTTATCTAACTTAAACATCAAGTCTTTCTCAAACTTTTTATGCCAAAGAAAATAATAACAACTATTAAAAATTAAATTAAAAAATATCTTATTTCTAAATAATTGAATTTTAGTAAAAAAAAATTTAAAAAATATAATATATTTTAATTTTATATTAATTACATCAACTTTAAATAATAATTATTTTATTTTAATAATTATTATTTTCTAATTTTCTAATATATTTTATATTTATAATTTATAATAATAAAAAATTATTATATATTATATTATAAAAATATTATTTTATTAAATTTAGTTAAAATTGAACTATTAAATCATGAATGTATTAATCATGAATCTATCATTAACTCATGATTCTATCTTTAATTCAAGCAAAAAAGTGTTTTTAATTAGTTAATAATACAAAAATAATGTGATTATTTAAATTCTTCTTTAATCATTAATATGACCCGCTTAATTCTAGTTACAATTAATTTTAAAATAAAATAATATGTATTTGAATGTTTCATTTTAATAACAAATTGGGAGGGGATTGTTTGTTTGGATGATATTTTTTAACAAATTAGCACTAAAATTAACAATTTATTTTCATCTAACACAAAAATGACCTAAAATTGTTTTAACTCAACATTATGCACTCAAATAATTTTTCAACACAATACGTGAACATTTTTCAACGTAATTTTAAATTATTCAATCTAATTTAAAAACCACCTAAAATTGCTTTAACTAAATATTATGAACTCAATTTTTTAAAACATTTATTGAAAATAACAATAATCTCAAACAAATTTTAAATGACTATCAATGTAAATAGATATGATCGTAAGTATTTGTGAAGGAGCAAACTCATGTCACAACAAACCAATATTGAATCATATATCTCTGTTATAATCCAATAGATGCATCTATGTAAGACTCTAGAGCAGAAATTAGAATGTTACAAAAACCAAACATAACAGAAAAAAACCTTCTACACTCCCATTATTTGTTGCTGCTTCGCTAGGCAAAGTCCAATGACATGTAGAGAGTTAGAGATTACTCCCTAGTCCTTATAAGAAACTGAGACAGCCAAGAATAGAAACATGTGACTGATCAAATGAAACTTAACTGCAACATGAGAGAACTTAGAATCATACCAGAAAACAATGGAACCAATGTCTCTAAGTTATTGGAAAAGGGTAAACAAATTAAAGCTGCTTCCTGCGTCTTGAAAAAATACTACTGATCTGAGAGTGTTGCATGTGAGAAAAGCTTATATCAGGAACAAACAGAAGACTATGAGATGAATAACGAGGGTCTTTTGGCCAGTGTAACCCTGAAGCTGTAGGTGGGGAAGGAATCTGAGGAACTGTCCATGACGAATCTGGAACACGTTCCAAATAGTCATCCTCCTCCATTTCCTCATCACCGGATCTTAAAACAGGAGAATCAGAATCACCTAACTTACCGCTGTCAGCCTGCATATACTCATCAGGAAAGGAAGAGGTGAAAAAAGAAAATTACAGAACCATAAAACCATAGAGATAAGACTTCAATACAATCAAAGTGCAATATGACTTGAAAGTTAATGAAAATTTGTTTACAATGTTAAGCATAAATAAATAGATGTTGATTTTCCACATTCTCATCAAACAATATCATGTTTTTAAGCACTCAATAGTGTCATGGCAATAGCCCCTTGTAACCTTTAAGATGTTGATTTTCTTAATCTTTAGGAATTGTGTTTCATGTGAAAGTCAACTGTGTATTGCACTTCTAAAAGGTCAAGATTTCTAATATTAAAATGGACCAACAAATATGGGAGAGAAAGAAACCAACAAGCACTTCAATCAACCAATCTGTCAAATTCCAATGTTTGAAGTCTACTCAATATAACACCTTTTCTGACCACAAATAAGCAACCTATTTATAAAAGTTATCCTATATTTGCCAGTTGTTTGGTGATGTGACCAACATGTTAACAGGGCTTGTACCCCCAGAAGACATGATTGGCCCCATTTCTATCCTATTTTCGCCTGCACATGCTAGGAGCACTACCATATAGATAACTAATCTATGGCGAAAGATGAATCTGAACTCTGCAATACTAACCCAGTCAAAAGAACAAAACCTTAACAGATAGAAATTCTACAAAACCAATGATCAGAGAATACTAGGTTATGAGGGTATAATTCAACAACTATGAACATACCCTTGATGATCCTTCCATGTAATCATAATTCTGACTAAACTCGTTTAGGCCAATAAATTCATCTATTGTCCATTGTGAGATATTTCCAGCTGTAGAACCACCACCAAAAGACTCCTTAGCTGGTGGAAAGCCTCCAACTCCTCCAACTTCAATAGGTAACAATTCATTGTATTCTGATGGCTGAGGCACTGTAGAAGCCTTTCTAGAGATAGAAGACGACTTTGTATCCGAAATTTTCTCCCCAGAATCTGATTTCAATGAAGTTGAAGAAGCGCCAGGCTCTGTAGCTTCAAGGCCTACTCTTACACCAGTGAGAAGAAACCTTTGATGACCAGATACATAAGCATTTGCAGTGTGTATTGCCAAATCACATTTTCTGCAGAACAGAGCCCGGTCCTCTAGACAGAAAAAATAGCCGAATGCTTCCTGTAAAGAATAGCAGACTACCATCATCACAAGCTGATCTAAAACGACAAGAAGTTTTAATTCATTTAAACTGAAGCAAGAGAAATAACAAAATAAGGATATGATTAAATGTTGACAATGGTTTTCGTAACAAAGATATTTCAGACTTTATTCCTACTACAATAAAGCATTAAATGATAACAGTAAACATTTTTTTAACGATGATCCTATCATCCTATCATGTGTTGGATGCACACCAGATAACCTAGAAGACAGAAACATAAATTGTATATATAATGAAAGAAATACCCTTAGAAAAAGTAATGGTAGTGACTGGATGGTGGTTGTGCTAGGGATGCGGGTGGTAGTGGGGCCACTAGTAGTAACAATGACAGTGGTAATGATTAGCAATAGAAAATGCCAATAGTGGTGTTGGTGATTGTAACAATGACAACATTACAATAATGGGGTAAATGGTGATCAATGTTGTAGTGGTTACAGTGGCGGTGGTTGTGGTGGTTGTTGTAGCGGTTGTGATAATTGCAATAATAATTGAAATGGTCTACATAGATGGTGAGCAATGATGATGGTGGTATTAACAATGATGATGTTAGTGAATATAGTGGTAATAAAAGTGGTGGCAATGGCCACGATAATTATGGTAGCGTTTGTGATGGTGTAACACAGAGTTGTGTAATGTGAATTCGGGTGAAAGTGGGAAATTTTCCTGTCCTATTTATTCCTACCTCTTTAGGATAACTTTCAAACTAATTAACAGATATGACAAGGAAACAAGTTAAGCTTTTCCTCTTCAAACAACTCTACAAACAATATATTAAATAAGATATGCTAACTTTTCCTGTTTTATTTTTTTTCATCCTAACCTAACCACAAAGCTGAGCATCAATGCATACCATTTATATTCCATTCAGTCAAATTTGAAAGAAAAGGAAAACAACCATTAACAAAACCTGGAAAAATACATTTTTCACTAAACCTCACAACCTTCAAAACCCTATATCAGCAGACTGTCAATCACTGAGCTTTGCATCAAGACTAAAGAACAAACATAATTGGCACCACATATACTGAGTGCACAATCAGCAGAAATAGCAATTCCAATTCCCACATAAATCTCAAACAGAATCTAATACAGCACTTTGATCAAAGCAAACACCTTTTTCCCAAGTATTAAGCACATCTAATTGATTCCAAAAAACAGAACTCCCCCTTACAATAAAAAAAAAAAACACAAAGCAACACACCTGGCAAATGTCACATTTGGGCATATGAGAGGAAGAGCTAGAAAGAGGAACTCTCTGGTGCTTGTTGGCAAGCTTGTTAGCAGCATGAACCTTTTCATCACACTCCCAACAAAGCGCAGCCTCATCCGCACAACACAGAACCTTGGCCTCCGCAGCCTCACACACGTTGCACTGAATCTTCATCCTTTCTAACCCAATTCCAGTTTACCCTCCCCACACCAAAATTCCCTTCCTTTCCCTCAAAAGACACCCCCTCCCCAAATGGATCACAAACTCCACCCTCAATTTTTCAAAAAAAAAAAAAAAGTTAAGGAAAATCAGAGTTAAAAATTATAAAACTTTAAGTACTTAAGATAGCCCCACTAGAAATTGAGAAAGAAAAAAGAAAGAGAAGAAGAGGTTTGGGACACCAAGAAGCAGAGGAGCAGGGTTTAAGAAGTGGGGAAGAGAAGGAAAGGAAAAAAAAATTCAAGGATATTTTTAGAGGCCACGAAGTTATTTACACGTGGCAGCAAACGGGTAGTGTCGTGGCAGAGGAGACCGACTGTGCTGGCTTCGGTAATGTTACAGTAAGAAATCAAATTCTTAAAAAGAACAAAAATCTAGGATTTTTTTTACTTCCTATTTTCCCAAGTTGAACACTTTGGGAAATTTTTGGCTGAAAATTTTTGGATAGAGCAACCTATAGTTTTGGATAGTTTTCATTCTTTTTTCTGCATGGGAACTTTTTGAGCTTTATATTTTTGCTAACCGGTGGAGGATACACATCCACTAATTATGCGAAATGCTTTGATTTATGTGAACAAAATGAGAGGGTTAAGAGCTGTGTCATGTCCCGTTGTACCCTGAGAAAAGGGATTGGAGTTTTGGGGAGTTTGCAGAGCGTGAAGAGAGGCCCCATGTTGAGGCAAAAGAAAGACGGGGATGTAAATTTGCTCTGGCATGAGTGGATATTTTGTAGCAGAAGAAGAGATACACCATGGTTTTAGGCGAAAGGGAGGGAAAGAAATCGAAGTTCAAAACTTGGACCTCAATGGGTGGACTTGGTTGGGCAAGAGTAGGATATTTTGTTACATCGATAGTGAAAATTCAATGTTTTAATGGTTAAGTGGAGCTAAACTTATTTTATACCACAAAAAGAAGATAATTTAATCAAATGTTTCTTGAAAAGTTGAGAGCTTTTAGCATGTATTTTTTTCATAATTTTTAGTTTAGAGAAATTGAATAGAAAGACAAAAAAAGGGAATACGAAGGGGGAAAACACATAAGGAAATGGAGCTTAGAGTTAGAATAAATTTTGTCTATAAAAATTACGCCTTAAAATACCTATATCGTACCTTAATTTGGGCTTTGTTAATGAACCCACTCTTTTCTTTTTTTCAAGCTATATAGCTTTAGTTTTTTATTTATATAAAAATACAGATCACAAAAATGTGATTTTGTTTCTCGCAAAACATTAAAAAAGAAAATGTGTTTATGTTTTGTGTAAGGTGAACTCAGCACAAAATGAGACTATCAATTTTCAATACAAAACGAAAATCATTTTTCATTTTTTATCAATTTACAAAACAAACTAGAAATATATTTTCATTTTTTTATTAAAAACTTATAAAAATACAGAAATATGCTTTTGAGATATAAAAGAATAATGTATTTTCGTTTTGTATAATTAATTTGAAAATAAAATATATATTTACATGAATAAAATTACAAATCCAACTAGAAAAATAAGATTAACATAAATGCATATATACTGTGACAGAAAATTGTAACAAGATATTGATTTATGTATAATTGTTTTTGTCAGGTACAAGTAATTTGATGAGAAACAGTCTTGGACAACTTTTTTAACTTATTTGATGACTTGAATTGACCTGAAGGTCATGAATAAATCTTTTAAATATATTAATAACTTAAATAAATTATTTGAGCATGATACCATGTAACTTAATAAATTTAAGGGAAGATAAATAATATATATACATATATATATATATATATATATATATATATATATATATTATGAGTTTAAATTCAATATTATTATATCTTTTGATAAATAATAGTATTTGAATATATCTTATTTTTAATTATCTCACATTTTAATAATTTTTTAAAATTAATTGTTATCTCTTTATTTATCTTACATGATTTTCATCCATCATATTAAAACTTCAGTTTTTTTGAAAAAAAAAATTCAATCTCACGATTAACTTTAGCACCACAATATAAAAAAAAAAAAAAAAAAAAAAAAAAAAAAATCTAGTCCCAATGACCACTCTAAAATAAAGGACCTTAAGATTTGTAGTAGTCTTATAATTGATCTTTTAGTAAATAAAGGGACTTAGAAAACTCTAACCTCTCTTAATAACAGTGAATTCTGACTTAACGAATAGGAGAGGTAGTAAAAAATTGTGATCCTAAGAAACTAATTAGTCTCAATTTATTAATGTGGATCACAAAAAATCTATGATTGCTCTTCTTCTTTTTTCTATTAAACGTTCATGGTTATGGTTCAAAGTGATGCATGAATAAAAGGGATGGTCAACGTCCATGATTATGACTCAAAATGATGCATGAATAAAAAGAAGGTCAAAGAACAAAATAAGAATGAATTGAATGAGAAGTGAAGTTTTCATTATTCACAAAAAATTACTCAACTTAAACTTAACATGAGAAGCCTTAATATATAAGAATGTAAATAAGCTAAAGGGAGGAGAAATGAGAAAAGAGAAAACATGGAAAAATAGAAAGTGCATTCAGCTGTGTTTTAGTGCAAGAGACATTATTATTGGATACCAATATGTTGCATTAAGCGCATGGTTTCAGATTTGAGATTTTCAGTTTTCTGACATTCCTTTGAAGCTGGGAATAAATATTTTTCATGTCAAACTTGAAACTTAGAGTATGAAAAAAATGAAGAAAGTAGCAGTTTTGTGAGAATGTCAACAGGTTGGAGGTTGGGCCGAATGGGGAGGAATTTAAGAATCCCTTGTTTAACGATTTTGATGGCAAACAAATTGCCACAGTAAATAGCAGCTGGTTGAGAATGATATTGATAAAAATCATCCATGAGATTATTAGTTTACAAACAATTTGAGTAAGAGCTTTGTACTCAGCCTTTGAGAAACTCCTTAGCATAGTAGATTGCTTTCTAGATTTCCAAGAGATAGGAGAATTTCTCAAATATATTATGTACCCAATAATGGATCTTCTAGTATCCAAGCATCCTACCTAGTCTAAATCGATGAATGCTTTGAACTTTATTTAGCTGTCAACATCAAGAAACATCCCTTGGTCTGGACTCTGTTTGAGATACCCAAGAATACAAGAATACGTGTTAAGATATATGTAAATATATTTTTTTATTATATTTTAGGTAAGCATATATTTAGTTTATAATTAGTTTCCTAAATATATATTTGATATTATTAGTTACCTAATTAGTTTTCTAATATTACGACTAGTACATTGTATTTATTCTAAATCAGTGAATGAGATCAATTGAGAAAAATATTCTTTTAATACGAATTGTTGATGATCTTTGGTGGGAGCAACAACGTACTAACTCATATGATGAATTGCATAAGTGATGTTCGGTTTAGTATTGGTCAAGTAGATGAGATTCCCTATTAACCTTTTGAAAGAGGCAAGATCTTCAATAGGTTCTCCATTTGATGAAATCTTGCTAGAGAAATTCATAGGTGTATTGACAGAGCAGAACTAAGCATCCTTCTTTCACCCAATAGATCTAAAGTGTATTTTCATTAGGATAGATGTATCCCTTTACTATTTCTAGCAACCTCAAAGCCGAGAAAGTATGTTAAATTACCAATATTTTTTATTTTAAAACTTTCATCCAACATTTGAGTAGTATTCTCACTTTCATTAATATCATTCCCGATCATATGATATCATCAACGTATACAAGAAGGATGATAATCTTACTATTAACAATTTTAACAAATAGAGAATGATCACCTGAAGTTTGTCTAAAATTATGGAGAACAAGGAAAGAAGATAAATTGGCATAACACTGGCAGTTGGTTTGTTTTAACCCATATAATGATTTATGCAATAAGTAAACCTGATTTCTTTCCTGAGTTTTTATGCTTGGTGGGAGTTGCATATAGACTTCCTCATTCAAGTCGCCATGCAAAAAGGTGTGTTCACGTCAAGTTATTTCAGCTGTCAATTCTTTGTAGTTGTTAAGGATAATATGAGACTAACACTAGTGAGTTTGGCGACCAGTGAGAAAGTATCAAGATAGTTTATGTCTTCCAATTGAGTGAATCAGTTTGCCACTAGCCGAGACTTGAATCAGTCTATGGACCCATTAGCTTTATGCTTGACTTTGTAAACTCATTTACACTTGTCGTCGTCGTCCCCAACCGTTAAGGGAGGGGAACCAAAAAAGGTGATCGGTCGGTACGCGATGGTTTGTGACTCGCATTTTCGTGAAATAAATGGTCATCACTTTTAGGATGCTTGATAACCGAACTACCCTTAAAAGTGAGGTTTTCGTAAAAAGGTTCTAAGGAGTTGTCATCGATGTTTAACCATAAACATTGAAAAAGGAAGAAAAAGAAAAGGTGTTGGTTTTAAGAAAACCAACTTTGGCCATTATAACCAGAGTTGGGTAAGGGAGTTAGTTACGTATGGAGAAGGTGTTACCACCTCACAACGCCCCTTTTGGGTTCCCTATGATGGATTAATTCTAAAATAAAGATACAAAAATTATGTTTTTACCCTATTTATTCATCTACATATAGTAATTAAATATCTACATGACCCTAACTTCTAATGCACACGAAGGAAAGATATAAAAGAGAAGGAATAGAAAAGGAACCTCCGAAGCGAGCTTTTTATATATCTCGAAATTTGAGGATGTTTTTTGGCAGTCTCCTCCCTCTATAAGAGCACTCCTCCCACGAACAATAAAATTATTATACTACCGAGTGCCGGATGTCTCAGAAAGAGACTTCCTTAACCGATTTAATCCAAAAAGGATAATCGGAAAAATTACTCAAACTCTGAAACAAAGCAAAAAATGCCCAGAAAAGTTTCAGAGTAGGAGAGAGAAGAGAGCTCTCAGCCAAGTGTATGCGGAATTGGGAGAAATGAGCTCCTATTTTTAGGCTCGCGGATCCAGAAGGCCAAGACAGCCATCACGGATTTTGTCA